AAATTTCAGGGGTACAGGTGAAATCCAGGTCTCTAATCATTTAATGTTCTTAAGACAGCTTTTTCATTACCAAATGGTTTATAAGAAATGTACCAAGCTTACCTTCAATGTACTCCTCTCAGGGACAGTCAGCAGCCTAGGAACTAGAGCCTCCAACTTAGGCTCACGGCAGGCATTAGTAATTAATCATAACTTCTTCACACCAAGGCCAGTGGAGCCTCCCAAACCTCAATACAGAGCTTTCAGTGCCCCACTCCAAATAAGACACATGACATAACAACTTTTGCAAAACTGGCTAAATTTTCCCATTTATCTAGATTTTCTTTCAAGGGAGCCTATATTTGTATATAAATTATGCAACAGCTTTGAAACCTCAGCACTGGTCCCAGAATCAGACTCCAGCTTTCCCTTTGCCTTCTATCAGGATGCTACCTTCCGCTGCTCTATAGGTGCTCCTGACTCTACCAAGAGTATCTACAGAAAAACCAACTCCTTCTCTCCCTCTGCACAGTGATGTTTGCTTCTCTTGCCTCTGCAAAGAGCACTCACTTCTCTCAAGTTTAGCAAACAGCTTACACCTATTTAATTTCTGCAGCCTTTAATATTTTCCTTTGGGCCTACAGATAATAAGACCCAGTCCTTGTGTTTCAGTAGTTCAGACTGTGTTATTTTGTTATGGGGCATGGAAAGCTTAAATAATGTTTCTTTGCAAAATTCTGTTTGATTTGGGTACCCAGAAACTATTACATCACGTAAGCATGTGTGTTCCAGCAGTCTTTTTATGCCAAAGTCTTGAAGTAGTGAAGTAATTCCATTGCTTTTTCAAAACCACTAGAAGAGAGCTTCACAATTGTCTGGAATTCAGCTTCAGCTATATTCAAAAAATGACAATCTAGCTTCAGAAGGAGTCTTATAATGGAGCCATATATAATGAATTGTAGATAATAACCTATTAGGAGTATCCAGGTATGCTTTGGAAAGTTATCAGATATCAGGAAACACGATCTATACTCCAGCAGTCATTAATATAGGAAGAATGTTGTGAAAGACCTTTAACTCAACCCACCTCACCACTCATTTGACATTTGGGATTACTCAGATCTAGAAGTATTAACTAACTTGCTTAAAGTTACACAGAGGAAGAAACTCCAATTTCCTAGTTCTAGACTAGTCCTTTCTCCACTAGCTACCAATATACCAGTCCCTAGTTAAAAATAGTTTATTCTCACTCAGTGTTTGAGAAGAAGTCTTTTTGTTCAATATATATATATATTTATATTTCTGAATGAATCTTCCTTCCTTCCTCCTACTGCTTCTGTGTACTGGAATCTCCACTAACATTATATTTAATTTTGGTAATATTTTGTTACAGGGTCCATGCATGATTTTGAAAGACTAATTAGTTATTTAATCAACAAAAGTAAATAGGATTTATTGTTTTATTGTTTAAAGCATGAGAGGAAGGAAGGAAGGAACAAAGGAATTTAAAAAATAAGTCAGAGATCAATGAACAAATAGCAATAGGAAGCCCTTAAATATCAATAATTATTTTAAGCATAAATTGAATAAATTTTCCAACCAGAAGACACAGAATGGCTGAATGAGTGACAAAATTAACAAACAAACAAGACACAAGATCCAACAATATGCTGCCTACAAGAGACTCACTTCAGCTTTCATTATACACATACAGGCTGAAGGTGAAAGAATGGAAAAAGAAACTCCATGCAAATGGTAACCAAAAGAGGAGTATCAGATAAAATACACTTTCAGTCAAAATGGGTCATAATAAAGAAGATCACTATGTTTGTGACAAAGGGGTCAATTCATCAAGAGGATAAAATAATAAATATATATGAACCCAATATTTGAGTACCTAAATATTTAAAGAAAAATTGAAGAGAACTGTAGGGAGAAAGAGACAAAAATAAAGTAATAGTAGGGGACTTCAATACTCACTTTTAACACTGTGTAGATTATCCAGACATAAAATTAATAAGGTAACACTGGATCTGAACAACACTATAGACCAAAGGGACTTAATAGACATATACACAAAATAATTCTACCCTACAGCACCAGAATACACATTTTCTCACATGCATATGGAACATTCTCCAGGGAAGAACATATATCGGGCACAAAGCAAGCCTTAACAAATTTAAGAAGATTATAAATATATCAAGTATCTTTCTTGAACACAGGTATGAAACCAGAAATCAGTAACAGGAGGAAAATGGGAAAACTGACAACTATGTTTAAATTAGCACACTCCTGAACAATCAGTGGCTCAAAAGAAAAAGCTAAAAGGAAAATCAAAGTGCCTTAAGTGAAAATGAAAATACAACATACCAAAACTTATATGATGCAGCAAAAGCAGTTCTAAGAGGAGAATTTATAGCAATAAATGCCTATACTAAGAGAAAACAAAGATCTCAGATATACAACCTAATTTTTACACTGTGAGGTGCAAACCTTTCAGGAATTAGAAAAAGAAGAACAATCTAAGCCCAAAGTTAGAAGAAAGAAGGAAATAATAAAGTTTCAAGGAGAAATAAATGAAATAGAGATCAGAAAGACAATAGAAAAAAATCAGTGAATCAAAGTGCAGTTTTTTGAAGATGAAATAAAATTGACAAGCCTTTAGCTAGACTCACCAAGGAAAAGGAATCAATTAAACAAAATTATAAATGAAAGAAGACATATCATAACCTGATCTTAAAGGCCTACTATGAATGATTATGCATCAAAAAACTAAATAACCTAGGATAAATGTATACATTCCTAGAAACATACAATCTACAAAGAGTACAAAATGAAGAAATAGAAAATTAGAACACACCAGTAACACCTAAGGAGATGGAATCAGTAATCAAAAACCCCCAACCAAAAATATTCCAGGATCATATGGTTTCACTGGTGAATTCTACCCAACATGTAAATAATTAATACCAGTCACTCTCAGTTCTTCCAAAAAATAGAAGAGCAAGGAACAAGGAACATTTCCAAATTCATTGTAGGAGGCCACATCACTCTGCTACTAAAGCCAAGAAAATAAGAAATTACAGGCCAATATCCTTGATAAATATAGATTCAAAAATTTTCAACAAAATACTAGCAAATAAAATGCAGCATATTAAAAGGATATACCCCACAATCAACTGGGATTTACTCCTGGGATGCAAGGATGGTTTGTCATATGCAAATCGACCAATATGATATATCACATTAACATAATAAATGATGAAACTGCATGATCATCTTAATAGATGTAGAAAATGTGTTTGACAAAATTTGACATCTCTGGATCAAAAAGAAATCAAAGCATGTTGAATTGAATAAAAATGAAAACGCATTATGTCAAAATTTGTGGGATGTAGCTAACACAATATTTAGAGGAAAATTTATGCCATTAAATTATTATATTAAAACAAGTTCTCAAATCAGTAATCTAAAATTCCATCTTGAGCTAGAGAAAGAAAAGCAAAGTAAACCCAAATCATACAAAAAGGAGGAAATCATACATATAAAAGCAAAAATCAATGAAGTTAAAAAAAATAGCACTAATCAGACTAACCAGAAAACTCACTCACAATGATATAGATAACTGAATAGTCCTATAGTGTTAAACAAATTGTATTCATAGTTTACTTCCAAAATAGAAAATTCCAGACCCAGTAAGGAATAAAGAAGACCAATACTACAAAATTTTTTCCAAAAAAACAGAAAAGGAAGGAAAACTTCCCAATTCATTTATGAGGCAAGCAGTACACTAATAATAAAACAAAGACATCAAAAGAAAACTATAGACCAGTATCTTTCATGAACATAATTGCAAAAAGCCTCAAAAAAGTTACAAAATCAAACTCAGCAATATATAAATAAGATAATATCAAGAGAATGAGAAGACAAGTCATAAACTGGGAAAAAATTCTTGCAAAAAACTTACAAAGGACAGTTATCTAATATATACAAAGAACTCTTAAAACTCATTAAGAAAATAAGTCACATGACTTTAAAATGGGGAAAATACCTGAACAGACGCTTCACCAAAGAAGATATACACATGAAAACTAAGCATGTAAACACAAACTCAACATATGTCCTTAAGAACTGCAAATTAAAACAATAACATACCACTAAACACCTACTAGAATGACCAAAATCAAACACATTGACAATACCAAATACTGGAGAGTATGTGGAACAAAATCTCATTCATTGCTCATGAAATGTGATGTCCTGATGAGTGTGGCAGCCACATGCTTTTGGGCCAAATAGGATTAGAGGTCAGTGGCTTAGCTGGGAGCTGGTGCAGGTAAATGCATAATAAAGATTATTTCAGGCAAAAATGGTCATTGAATGCTAAACTTTGGGGGAAATTTTAATAAGCAGCAGGACTGAAGAATCTTAAAGTGTCTCCTCATAGACTGCTTACTAATTACAAAGGGAAAAATATTAACTATACCATGGAGAAATAAGTAACCCCTCAATGGGTGATCAAATTAACTGGAAGACAACATGTGTTTGCAGATGGAATATACTGAAAAGCACACCATGTCACTTATATAGTATACATGCCAGGAGTACAATGTCTACATCTAATCTTGAGAAAATGCCAGACAAACTCATAAAGAGGAAGTTTCTATTTATATGTAGGGAGTAGGGGGCTGGGAACTGTATTATCCAAAATGTCACTATCAAGAAAGACTAAGAAAGGCTCTGACAATGTTCCAGATAAAAGAAAACTAAAAAGACATAACAATTAAAGGTAATACTTGGTCTTGTACTTGATCCTTTATTGGAGGAAAACAAATGCAAAAAAAAAAAAGGCATTATTGGGTCAGTTGATAAAATTGAAATACAGATGGGAGTTTAAAGTGTTGTATCAGTGTTAAATTCAGTGAAACTGATTACAATATGATGGTTATGTAAGAGAATTCCCTATTCTTAGGAAATAAACATTGGAATATTTAGGGATAAAAGGTCATGATGTGTACACTCTAGTTTCTCTTCAAATCACATAAATCTTTCACCTTTTACTGAAGATTTCCATGGAGAGAAACAGTTTAAAAAAAAAGGTCATGATGTAGGCAATTTACTCTCAAATTGTTCAGATAAAACACACACACACATAGAGACTGAAACAGACAGAGTCAGAGGGAAGACAGTTGAAATTTTAGTCAAATGAGGTAGTAATGTTAACAAACGAATCTGGTTAAAGGGTATAATGTACTATTCTTATTGGAATTTTTCTGTGAATTTGAAAAAATTTCCAAATAAAAAACTTTTTCTAAATGAAGTGTATCTGTAGGTGATGACACACAAAGTTATACAAAATAAAGTATGGGAAAGAAGCAAAGTAACATAAAATCCATAAGATATAATTTTACTGTATAAACTTTAAAATCATTAAAATTAGCAAGAGAGAAAAGAGAGGAGGGAGGAAGGGGGGAAAGGAGGGAAAGAAATAAATGAAAAATAAAATAACTTCTCTGGAAGAATATTGAAAAAAGCTGTTAACCATAATTGTTTTTTCAGTATTGGAAGAGGAGCCTGAAAACATAGGGAGAGAGGGTTTTTGCTGTTGTTTTCATTCTATACCCCTTCAGTTTGAATTTTTGACCTTGTGAATTTATGTTTATTTTTAATAAATTAAATACATAAAGGCATCTGATGAGAATACACATTTCCTACTATTATATGAGACAAATGTGAAAGTTATTATAAATAATAATGCTTTATAGTTTGGATTGAACATTAAATTTCATCAGTATATGATGTTTTTTACATATTACACATCAAACTATTTTTAAGGTATTTAAGGCCTGGATCCAAGAAAAAAGCCATCCTATCTAATTGCTTTTATAAAATTATGAGGATTCTTTTGTCCAGAGTATCTGAATGTTTAGATTCACAGCTGAAGAGCACAGTTCAAATATGAAGTTGTTATAAAACCAAGGTAAAGATGCCCACAGTTTAACATCCTTTCTTACTATACTCAGCCTCAGGCTTTTACAAAGGGATAAATATGTGGCTCCTCTTATTTCTGTTTAGTACCTAACACCATTCTATACTATATAGTTAGAAATATGATTTATATATATATATATATATATACACACACATATACACACACATATATGTACATACATACACACACACATACACACACATGACACTGATTCATCAGTTCTGATGTTTAAGGGCTACAGCCAGCAAATGAAATTTTCCTTCTATGGGTTACTTTTTAAAGGATTAGTTCAACAGTTAAGGCCTCCTATAGCCATGCCCAAAAGCCCTCTAAAACAGTGCTTCTCAAGTTTAAATGTTCCTGTGAATCGCCTAGGGTTCTTGTTAAAATGAATATTTGGATTCAGTAGGTCTGGGGAGGGGCTCTTGAGTCTGTCTGCAAATCCTCAGGTGATGCTGATGTGGTGATATAGACCATCCTGTGGTCCATCACATTGAGCAGGGAAGCTATAAAGGATTGAGCATAGGTAGGGACAGGACATAGGCTTGAGTTCTTCTTTGCTTACCTTTTTATTTTTTTTTTAATCTAGTTTTGTTACCAACCTAGTGGTCCTCAAGGCTACTGGAAGAATACTGTATCATTTCCAACTATTACAGTCTGAACTGAGACTATCATCTGAGAAATTTTGGTCTCAAGAGGCTTTAAAAAGGTACACTTGTATCTCTAGTATTTTCAGTTAATGGTTAAAATATTTTTTTAAAAAGTGAAGGGTTAACCAGTTGGCCATCTGGTAGAAAAAATATATATATAATTATGTAGAAACCATTTCATTCTGGTAAAAAATCATGTTGTGGAGTGAATCTATGAGGAAGTTCCAGTCCCCAAGTCAAGTCTCAAACTGTTTTATGGAGAGTTGCTTAGTAAGTGCTTTTCTATACTACGTGCACATGTCACGTGAACTCCACAGGTAGCCTCCGTACGAAGCAAGTATCATGTGGGTGACTTACTACAGCAACTGTTGTCTTCACTCTGTCTCTTATAAGCCCCTCATGGAGAGAGAAGCACTGTCTGCCTCAGGTTCTACTTCCACATCCACTACACCTGTGGGAGACTAATGTTTTATGACTTATACTTAATTGTTCCTTGCCAAAAGCATATGCACACAAAGGTACAGGAAAACCCATGGAATCCAGGGAATATTGATCATAATGTAAAAATAATTAATCCCTCAAGATAAGTGATTTAACAGGAAAGAGCCCAGATTTTTATTAAAGAACTAAACACCCTGTTGCATTCCCTGACTGTTTAAAAAAAAAAGTCTGTTGACATCAAACATGTAGCCCACATGGATTAAATTAGGTCACTCTTCATGTTACAGTTTAAGATTTCATAAAGTACAGCTTGTGGTTAAATCATATGTTTCAGTTCTGAAGGGCTGGCTGATGACTTCCCAATCTTTTCAATATTGTACCCCAAGTGATATTTACCCAAGCACCACCACAGCACTCTTCAACCTAGTCTCAATAATCCAGCCCCCAGCTTTGCAGCCCACTCCACATTTTGATTCCCAATGAACAAATATTTGTGGTGTGTTCATGGGCTATTTAAAATGTTAGCACACTGGGTTCAGTACAGCATTCCATGAAGAAAGGGGACACATCTGTGGCCCCTGGGTTAAATGTTGATGGGAATGAATTTTCATTCAAAGCACCAGGTCTTTTATTCTTTCCTAGAAGGTTCAGAGACAGTTGATGGGGACTAAACTGGGACAGTAGTTTGAGAGGGAAAATTCAAAAGTGTCTAATGAGGGAATTTTCTTCTCCACTCCCACCACCTTTATTCTATTTGAGGGCCCCAAATGCTAAAGCATTAATGGGTTTTCAGATGAGCAGGAAACAGAGAAGACAATGGAAGGGAGAGATTTTTCTTTACGTATAGGTGTCTAGATGCTTGTGTCTGAACTTCTTAGCACAAATCTGTTCATAGACTTAACCACTTGGGAGCTCATATAGGCAAAGAATGTTTACTCATCTCAGTATCTTCCTGTTTCCAGGATTACAGGCTGTCAAAAACAAAGACATCAACAAGTTCATGCTGTCTGTCTTGTTTCACTTAATTCATTTTGTTTGCAGTCATAACAAGCATGTTATTTATTTAGTTGTAAATACATACCTAAGTAAGGATGCATTCTCTTTAATCCTTTAATTTAACAAGATCACATACTTGAGGAAGCCAAAGGTTTTATAGCAAGATTAGAATGAAGAGTTGTTTCCTCTTAGATTAAAATATTTGATTTGTGGTATATCATTATGTTTGATATTTAGGTACTCTCTTGCTGAGGTCTAAATTAGTATGTTTATTAAATCCCCTCTAAGTGGCATTTTACCCACTGTGTTTACATTTAGAATCATCTTTCATGATAAAGTCTGCTGTGAAATGGGAAAACTGATTTATTGCCTATGTTTCTTCCAAGTTTGATTGCTAAAATCCATCTGTCAACAGAAATAAAGCATTCTTGTGTATGCACACACACACATAAAGTGCACACTTTGTTTCCTTAAAAGAACTGTGGCCCTTTAGTCCACTCCCCTTCTTAGTTCAGTTTTTAGCAGCAGGAAATGGTAAGTCAGTTTGTTTCTTTTCTGATTCCTGCCAAAATTTTTCTTTCCAGTGCACTGTCTTTGCATCATTAGGAAGTCAGGCTGAAAACTTTGGTAAGGTTTAGGCAGAAACAATCTTTTGAACAAAGAATTGTGTATTTGGCAAACCACAGTTCAAGCATCTACTCTTGAGGAATAGATTGAGAAACATTTAACATAAATATAAGAATGAATCAATATGGCTTGAGAAAACCACGCCCCAAAAATGTTAATCCATGAATGGAAACACTGAATGGTTAAAGTAACAGAAGACTATGGTAATAGTAGATTAATTCCTACAGATATTCTGAAATAACCAGCTTTTATTCAGATAACTTGCTGACCCCACTCACACAGGTCTGGTTGGCCTATGTGAGAGTGCGAAAGGTCTCTAACAAATGGGAGATTTGACAGGAAAGCAAAGGCCTGATGGCACAAAGCTCTGCTTACCAATGAGTCTACAGCAATGGCAGGATTTCCCATGCTGGTTTTCCCTTTGCAAGGAAAAGTAGGGCCAACTCTTCCCCAGCTCATGGATCTTCTATCCAGTCTCTCTGTTGTTACACAGCCCATTCCTAGTCTGCACAACTCAAACTGCCACCACACCAAAAAGCACATCATCAAGCCAGGAACCCTCATTAACATCTCAGCCTACATAAATCAGGTTAACAAACCCAAATACCTGGTAGTTCCTGAGCCATTGGAATTCAGAGGAGGTAAGGGGCAGTGGGAGAGAAAGAAGAGAACAAACTGACGAGCTATCAAGTGTCATGTGGGCAGCTGGGCACTAAGAGAAAAACAGTGTGCACGATGGGAAAAGCCCTGGGCCAGGTGGGTTCACATCCTCCTACATCAAGTTCATATGGCAGGTGATGTTCCACATACTACATGAAGTGATCCGACAGCTCTGAGAGATAAGAAGTATTAGGATTATTACTTCTACTTTGCAGATGGGAAAGCAGAGGTACAGAAAAGTTTAAGGAATTGCTCAAGCAGTCCACATCCTCCACCAGCTATGCTGACTTTATGATGTTATGTAAGTGACTTAACTTATGAGCTCCAAGGTCCCATTTAGGAAACTGGAGATAAAAATACTTACATGAGGTTGGGTTGTGAGAATCCAATGTGAATATGCATGGCAATTATTAAAAACTAATTTCCTTCTTAAAGGATGAGGTATCTGCAGAAAAGGGAACAAAGAGGGCATGAAAGAAAACTTAATCCACCTCCTGCTTTTACTGGTATGTTCCTGGGCTTCCCACCAATGCCCCACATGTCCCCAGCCTGCTAGGCTCTACACTGCATCAACCACTCCTCTAGCCCTATCTGCAGATTAATGAACAGCTGCTTGAGTAGGACCACAGGACACTTTCATTTCTAGCAGAACAGAAAGAAGCAACCAAGCAGGGAGTATTAATAATGAGCTAAATTCTCACCTTCTGAAACTGCAATGGAAAACTTGGGTTATTTGCTTCAGTATGTTTTCATTCTCACTACATG